CATGCAAAACTAATTTTGAACTAAACGAATCATTCCGTGGTTTATGTCAAGATTTTAACTGTCATTCCAGCACGGTTGACGTATCGGACTCGATTTTTACTATAAAGAAAACTATTATTTCCACTCTCAATAATTGAAATACTATCTTTAGCATATCCAATCAGCTGATGAATTTGATTCTGTAGCTGAATAGTTTTAGATCTCGACACTTAACAAACTCCTGTTTCCACTATTCGGCACCAAAAAACTAAAAAAAAAAAGGTTCCGTACGTCATGCGGACTGCGCCCCTCGTGTCGGTTGGGCGTTAATGGAGGGTAAAAAGCCGTTGGGATTAATTAATTAAATTGCGTTGTGATGCAAAAGATTGCTCTGGGTAGCGCTCGATTCATCACTGCACATAGTGTCATCAGGGCAACCCAAAATATTCTCCTAAAAACAAATTTTAAGCGCCTAAAATATGACAATAAATTCTTAATATATGCTCCACAAAATGCTTTTAAAATCATTGTAAGCCATAAGATATGCTTTAAAAATTTCGTTTATGTAATATGTGCATGCCCAAAAGTACATTTAACTTTATTTTCAGCGCCTAAAATGTTCTAAATTTCATAAAAGTGTATATACATAGATATTTATGTTTAATAATTCATATTTATTCAATTTGTTTTTAAAACATACTATGTATGAAAGTACATGGAATCTAATTCACAAATTGTTTCACATAGGAATTCATACTGTGCATGTTTGTAGATACATACATATGTACCCTGCAGCGGAAAGTACTAGTCGGGAGTTTTGGAGTCGAATACCGGTACCTCGCAAATCTACCACCCATGCTTTATGCTGTCGCATTTAACATGGAGTTGTCCTAGGAGGTGACAATTGCCTCTCTCTACGTAACTTTGCCCTGGTACTTGTAGTACTAACACGTAGCATGTAACCGAACCACGTTTTGTATCTCGCTGCGTAACCTGGTACTAGTAATAATAAATGTTTCCATAACAAAACACAGTTACTTGCGTTTGATAAAATCTTTGTTAATTGCTTGCCAATCGAAATTATAACGGCGCGCCATAGCGGGTCAGCGTCGGGACAACTCATCTGTCAAGAGCGAAACATATAAATACATATGTAGTATTATCTTTCTCACACATAAAAAACTTAATATAAACACGATGTGAACGTGCACTTTGATATTTATTTCATTTTCAACACAATGTTACTATATTGTGTTTATTTCAGAAATTTGTATTATTAGTTCTAAAACTAACAACGCAGCACGTATCCGAATATAT